ATCTGATATCAAATATCATCTGACATCCGCACTAAAGACCAGATGAAGCCAATCGTAATCCAGATCTTTTCAAACAGCAAAACAGCAACCAGACAAATAAAGAGGTTGAAAAGAACCACGAAAGACGACAAAGAAGATGACGAAAAAAGAAGAGAACATCAGCCTAAATCATAGTAAAAGTGACATATTAAAAGTTTAATTTTGGTACTGTAAAATGTCATTTTTCAAGTTGCTCAGGTGAGGATTTCGAGTGCAAAAGTCTTCATCAACAAATAAGGAACATGCATAAACTCCACTTCTAAAAATTAGACTTCATAATTAAACAGAAGAAGAATAAAACGATAAAAAATAAATTTTAAACAGAGAGACAAACTGGCAGGTGTAAATAAATAAAGAAAGAAATAAACGAACAAACGAATAAGCGGCACTGCAATCTAATGAAACAAACAGGTAAATTCCGGAACGCTGAAATAAGCAACGAATTAGCAGTCATCTGACTTGTTCCTTTCTTTTTGAGCACTCCACTTCATTCATCTAACTTGCGCATAAAACACACCACAGTTACTGTAAAATCCGGCCAATAAATAATCTATGACAGATCCATATATCAGATACACAAAAAAAATTGCTTTAAAATATCCTTTTAATATATATCAGCTAAAAAAAAGAATAAAAATTAATAATTCTTGAAAAAAGAAGAACAAGACGAAAAATAATCAAATGAAGCAAAAAACAATCATTCCTCTGTATAATAGTTACCTAACGTAAAAAGCTATATTTGTATATGCATACAGACAGATATGCCATTTTCTAAAGCCAATAACAACAACAACGTTGACGGCAAAGCATTAACTGTCCAACAAATCTATTCCAATACAGGAGACTGTATCGTGCACTTTTTTTTTCTAAGAATATATTGATTTCAATTTGTTTTACGCTATATTTATTCCATTCTTTTTTTTTTGTTTAAGAAAGAAAGCTTTCTTTTTCCCAAAGACATGAGAACAACACTTGCTAACTAACAATTTGTACTACAAAAGTCGCAACACATAAGTAAACAAACACAAAACATTCAGAAGCAAGCGACACCGAGACACACATCCACTCAATCAGAAATGAACGACTACTACAGTGATGAAAAAAAAGAAAAAAATCAAGCAAAATGTAAAAAAATTATTTCATCTAGCAGTATTTAGTAAATACACAGAGCCACGCCAAAAAAAACAGTGGTTATATCATCCATATCAAAAAAATTATATAAGTTCAATTAACCATCAATGTAAAAAAAAAAAAACGCTGAAAATTTTTAAGCACAACAACACCTCCCAATAAATAAGACAAAGTGCATACGAAAATTTAATTAAATTTTACCACTGTTAAATCCCCCATCAAAGATAAAATAGTTAACATAAGAATAATAATTAGAAAACTAACAATAATGTTAATGACAGTAAAGAAAAAGAAAGGAAACCACAGCTGTTGTTACAAATGATGACCAGTTTGAGCGTTTCTGAGTAAAATTTCAATTTGTATCCCACCCTGTCCATAATGATGAAACACGAATTCCCGACTGCATCTATGATATGGACTTTCTTAAATACATCTGTAAACTACAATAGACCTAATGGAAAGTGAAAGAAACCATACCGAAATTTTGCAGAACAGAAGTACAACAAATATTTAATTCACCAAAAAAAGCTTTTTTTGAGAAGCTTTTTCCCCCAGTTTCAATCGCCGTTTTAATGAGTTCACGATTCACTATCAATTTTTGAAGTTTTTCACTTCTGTCTCTTTTTTTTTGTCTATTACTGCTCTACTGTTGATTGCAAAAAAGCTGAATGCATATAACTGTGTACACAGGTACTTTATTCGTAAAGCTCTCTAAAGCAGCAAACTGGGTAGGTTGATGTAAACCGCCCAAAAATGATAATTTGCATAAAAATGCATTCTAGTAGGTATAAACCTTTTTTAAGACAGAGATAAGATAATAAAAAATAAAAAAAACGCTATAGTATCCAAACAAACTTCTAGATGAAAAAAAAAGCTTGAAATAAATAAATAATAAGTTCAAGGCAAATGGGGTGCTGTTGTATGAACAACGTTGTTGCTACACTTCCTCTTTCGTCGACACCACCTACAGTAAACATGTACACCAACTGCTATCATTAACGTCCAAGCGGATAAACCCGTACATATACTAAGCCATATGCTGGAGATGCATACCCGTTGCGTTTCAGCTGAAATTTTTTAACGTCGCTAAATTATCGCTTATAAATGGAGGTGAAAAGAAGTAATGCTGATTAATACTGTTCCTGATCACTCTCAGTCAGCCGTAATTGTTTCTTACCCATATTGCACATCCCTCTGCTACTACCTCAAAAAGTTGCAGCCAGTAAAACACTACCGTAGCACAATACAACTTAGAAAATTAAACATACTCCTTTTTAATTTATTAGCTTATGTCAACTTCTTTTGTGAACCTCTACTACTACGCTCTAGTTTGCAACAAATTAACCGGAAATGGCAACCAAACAAATCACTAACTTCAAACCGTAGTTTCAAAAGAGAAAAAGAAAAAAAAATAAAATTAAAAAGTTAGACATGGACGATATAACTACAGATAACACTTACATGTTACCGAATTTAGATGCTTATTTCGATTTTTGATAAAATCAACAGAATTACAATAGGCATCATCGCGAGTGCCAATGCAAATATCTGCATGAACATCTTGATGCATCGGGCTTCGTTCGACGTTCTCTGTAGTACTACGTTTCCGTAGCGAATTCTTGTTTAAATCCGATAAGATGGAATTTGTTGGCGAACTAATTACATCCGGACAATATGGCGGCTTTAAAAAACAATCCGATAATTAAGTGTTTGGACTCAAAAACAATAAGTCAAAATAGCAACGGGTTAGAGTTTCGAATTTGTCAAAAAAAAAATGATCAAGAAAAGTTAGCTGTAAGAATTATCTTTCAGACAATCTTCGCCCCATAATTTGTGCATAATATGAACGAGCTGAAAACCTACCGACGGTATACTTTCACAGCTGGAAATACCGGATTTGGAATCTTCAATATCAGAGCATATTTCAAAAGAACATCGTATATTTAATTGACTGTCATCGGGTACTTTAAACGCGTGCCAATGTACGCTTGCAACATCGTGGTAGGTGTCGTAATGCGGATGTCCAAAGATGTTGATATCTGTTGAACAACTGAAAAAAAATTGTCTTTCTCTTCAATTTTTTCTTCAAAATTAATAAAATAGAATCCTGCTCAAGTCGTTTCTCCCGCACGGTGACTTTATAATTCAAACAAATTTAGGGACTATTTTGAATAATACATTCTTTTTTACCTGACCAAGCAAACAGAACAGCTCTTCACGTGGTTCATGACCATATGGCTCCAAAAAACGAGTAAGTTTTCTGAAGCTATATGTCAGTGAACCATGTGAATTTTGTAAAAATCATGTAAGTACACAACAAGCTAAACCGCAAGGTCTACGTCTGCTAAACGCGCGGCTGGTAGCATCTAGTAAAACGTCACTAAACCTACCCTCGTGCATCAATTACCAAGTATTCTTCACCGCTAATTCGATCTTGGACAGTGCAGTTCCGTATATGAAAACCATAAGCGTCTGAAAAAAAAATAAGTAAATAGAAAATAGAGATTAAAAAAGCAAGCAAAACTTTCAATCCACTTCTCAAGAAACTAAAACTGACAGTGAAATTCAAAAGAAAAAGGCAGATGAAACAAAAAATGATAGAAGATAAAGGTGGTTTACCGGATTCTGGCACCAGCCTCCATTCGATTCTCATCGGCTGGCCAAGATCAACAACATCTACCTCAGTTGCCTCATGATTATGGCTGTGTTCTTCTTCTCGTAAGATACGCATGAGACATTCAGGAACTGGTGCCTTCTGTTCAAGCCTTGCCGGTACCAAATGCAACCGAAAACAGTACTTTATTAAGAAAATTTATTGGTTATTGGTTTGTTAATACTACTGCCCTTCATTACACACCTCTCTCTGCTAACTCTGTGAAAATTTCTTATAGATGGACTGCTAAATTTGTTTAATTACAGTAACTGTAAGCAAATGTTGCTTAAGTGAAAAGTAAAAATTTCGAACTCTTCTAAAGCTTCTTCAATTCGTCGCGGCACCGAACTCTTTTGATAGTGCACTTTCTGCTGTTCACACTGCGCTATATACGACTGAAGTGATGTGACGCCATCCTTTTGCTCAAAAACGACAATTATCTGGATATGATAATGCGTTTGTCCTATTTGTTGACCTACAAAAACGTAAAATTTGCAGTTTTACTCATAAAACACTGTTTATTGCAATTATTTTATGCAACAACATCAACAAATAAAAATCTTTTCCCCAGAAAACAACAGAGTTGTTAATGTGGAGCTCTGAGGCATTCCTTTTTCATTTATTTTTTCTTTAGTTAGCGAAGAAAAGAAAAGACCTTGTGTAACAATTTTAGTTTGTCATAAATACGGAAGTTATGGTAAGTAAAATGACTTTATCAAAATTGGTTAGCTGATTACTCAGAAACTGAATATTTTTAATTGAAAAAATTAAAGTGAAAAAATGGCCTTTTCTGAGCCAACGATGATAAAGTTCCCCTGTTACTGAAAAACTATAAAAAGAATAAGATATTTAAGCTCTGTATTTTTGCGGCTCCAAGAACAAACTTGGCTGGCTTTAAAAAATCCATTTCTAAACCAGAAACTGTTATGAAGACTGATTTTTCTGTCTATCTAAGATATTAACTTTATTAGTACCCGTCGCTGATGTGGTTAATTTGGTAGGTAGAAAGTCAAAAAACTGTACGATTACTAAGAATCTAAATTTTAATACATATACACCACTTTAACAGCAACAGCAACGGTTGCAAATGGCGTTTAACAAAAAAACTAATTTTCCTCTCGGAGAAAGTTTAAAAAGCAGCTGAACAAAGACATAGTTGTAAAAACTAAACTTCTAAAAAAATAAATGACGTTCTACCTGCACTTTTGATACCACACTCCTCATATGATAACTTAACTTTAGCTGTCGTAGCTTCTCTGAACGAATATATGCATCTGCAAAAAATTTTAATGTTTTGATTTTACTAAAAAAATTATTTGAGGAAAAAATAAAAGAAATTCTTATTTGTCTGCCTCGTCTCTTCTAAATTTGGAATCTACAGGTTAATAGTTAAGTAAGCCGAGTCAAGTCATTAATCGTTTTGCCCTCCCTCACTGCCGAATCGTTGGCTTTACTAAGACGAGAGTTAGGCTCATCCATGTAAAACTCATTAAAAATTAACCATACACTCCTCATCTTTCCCTACCATATCATAGCACCTCATTTTACGTCTGTCAAAAAAAACCCACCTAAAACCAGAAAAGATATTTGATATTAATTTTCCTCAAATTTTCCAAACATTGATTTTCCCTAGGTTGTTGTAGAATTTGCTTCTTCTTAGGAACATAAACGTCATTTCTCTTTGACCCGATAACCATTTATTCTTGGTTATTACTTATTCTATCTTACCACATCTAACGAACAAATTTCAGAAAACTTTAAGTTTCAGAAACAGAAGAAAAATTAGTAATAAAGGCTACTTTTCCAATATCACTCAAACTCAGAAAAAAAAAATTTTTTTTTACTCAGGTATTCGTTTTCGATCATGAGCAAAAATTTGTCCATTGAATGGGAACAACGTGGTGATCTCAAATTCCAGTCCATCGTCAACGCATACAATTCGTGGTTTCCCTGGAAAATAGTTTGCTTGCTTGACAGAGAAAAAAAAACAAAAAGCATAATAAGACAAACAAAAAATCGGTGTATAAAAATGCTTCTACAACTGAGCAAAAAACTTACAGATAATTTTGATTACAAACTATGTGAACAGCAAAAAACTTTTTTTTACTATTAAAAAGAAAAAAAATATAATTTCCATGTTTTTGAGTTCCTATAAATTCTTTCGCTACTTTTTTCTTCTCTTTTATCCAGTACATTTTGACGCAACCACCTAGTTATATTTTTGTACTTCAAGTTTCAAATTTCTCTGTTTTGACTACTTTTCAGAAGAGAACAGAAAACAACGGCAAAAAAAAGATTTCTTTAATCGTGCCAAGTGCGTAGAACAATTTTTAAAAGTGGCACACAGCAATGCCTTTTTTTTCGCCGGAATGATCATCAGAGCCAGTTGCTCTCTTCCGTCCTCCCAGTTAGCGATTTTCGAAGCAAATGAGACGATAAATTCAAAAACTAAAGAGTAAATTCCAAATTTGGATGAGTCGTCTCTCAATTCCCTTCATTTAAATTTACTTCAGCAACAGTTAGTTATTATTATCTACAACACTGAATTTCTGAGCACATATAATTCTAACAGGAACTCTTTTCCAGCTATAGTTTAACTGTCACCGAACTGCAGTGTAACAGTACAACCACACTTTCTTACCATTCATACTATTCAAACTACAATAAGATTATTTCCAGCGACAGCTGTCTAGAATCTTTCATAACACATTGAAAAACACCAAGCGGAAATATAAATAAGGAATAAAAAATGAGGTTTCCGGGAAATATCCGCCAAATTTCATTTCATTCGTTTCAAAAGTTCAATAATTTAGTGTTAATTTCATTATGTTTGCCCCACGCAGTCGTTCAGACAGTTTGACAAAAAATTAAGTATTAATTATCAACGAACATACGAAAGTTTAATTGTTCATTCTACAACAATTCCGTGCTAAACATATTCCGTTTCGTAGTTTTTAGGGGTAAAAACGGATCTAACGATTTCTCACCTCGTATTCTGTTTGGAACATTACCGGTGACCGTTTGTGTTGGATGTCTTGGCCGAAAAGATGGAGTGCCAGTGTTGAAACTAAAGTTTGAAACACTTCTATTTTGTCAGTTCAAAAATATACAAAAACAAAAGTGGTATAATTGAGCAACTATAAAAAGTCATCTAAATTTTGAAATTAACACCAATATGAAAGTCTTCAGCGCCTCAAGTAAAGGAAAGAATTTACTATTTAGACTGTTGTTTACCTTGTAGGGACAGTTGGCCAGAAACGATTAGTCGATGGAGTAACAAAGCCGGTAATTGCTGGAGAATTTCGCCTTGGAGGCGGAGTTGAGGTCACTGCTGGAGTCGATCTTGACCAGCGAGGAGTTAAAGTCAAAAACTGATTAGGCACTCTCGGCGTTACATCACTTTGAGTAAAGGGAAGAACCGTGGCAGTATCTTCTGGCCTTATATTCCGAGATACTGGCCTTATTTTTGCTGTCGTTGCACTGTAGACGTCTGGTGTAATGCGACGCATGAACGTATTAGATGGTTCTGTCGCTGTTTCATCATCCTTTTCTTTATCCGTATCCCTACTATCTTCTAAATCCTGCATCAAAGGAGACGAAACTATTGCAATTGGTGTCGTATACGACAGTTCATCTGGTCGAATAGTTGTTGAGTAACGATCAGTTGTTGTCATCTGTGAGACAGAAGTGGTTAACTTTACAGGTGCATCTGGCGAAACTGACCCATTGGGTCTGGTTGTCTTTTTAGAAAATCTCCTAGAAGTTCTTGGAGGTGCTGTGTAAATTGAAGTTTCAGTGACCGGTGGTTCAGCGAATACTGTCGTCGCTTCCGTTTCCCATAAAGGTGCTTCTGATGCTACAATAACAAATAAATTTGAAAAAATGCACAGTTTGCTGAGCACAACTGATATCTTTTTGAGCACTTTATTTTCAGCTATTTTTTGAGAAAATGCAGATATTGTGATGAAGATAACGAGATTGTACAGCAATTATACCTGAAATGGGAGAAATTGTTGTCGCTTCATTTAGTTTAGAAATCACTGTAGATGTCCGGGTGTCAAAAGTATGGAAGTTGGGCGATGATGTAGTTTCTGAGAAATAACCTCGAGGTTTCGAAGGCACATTGTTTGTTGTGTACTGTTCACCATATGACCTGTCGTATGAATTGAGGAATGGACTTACTGGATTGTATGGCTGATAGGCGACTCCGTGATTTTGTTGGTATGTCTGTTGTTGCTGATATGTAGCACCGTAATTACTGCTATCGACATTTTCGTATTCTTCTATTGGCCGATAACCCGGTGGACCGGGTCTCTGCGAGTACGTTGATTGTGATGATGCTGGATTGATGAAGTCAGCCCCATAAGTTGAAGCTGCAATACTGTTGCTGTTATAGCTCTTGTTATGTTTTATTTCACTTCTTCAATAGGGTTTCTTCTTTCATGTTTTGATAATACAGAATTAGTTTTATACCATTTTTCACTCAGTTTATTTTGAAGAAAAAAAATGAAAATTCAAGTCAGGTGACATTTCTTCCTCGTCTTTTCTCAAAAAAAAGCCATATTTCTTTTTCAATGCTTTCAAATCAATGCAGCGATATAAATGACAATAAAAATGTGTAAATTTTCGCAATAGCAATCTGTCAGTTGATAGAAAAATTCGCTACTATTAAACTAACGAATAAATAGGTTTTTATTTTAGTTTATTTGTCTGTGTGAGAAACGAAAAAAATAAACAGGATTGAAAAATTGTTTAATTTTTCCATTTCTTTTAAGCCTTTTCCCAATGTTGGAATAAAAAACAAATTTAAGTTGAAAAAGAGGATAGGCTAGGTCATTTTCGGTCAAGTCAAAAACCCACTTTGTTTTATAAAGTTACAAAAGAAAATCTAAAAAATTTGGACTATCAACCGTAATTGTACAGAAAACTCGTATGATTACAGCTACTAAGGTCCCTAATAATCACCTTTATTGGGTGTCGGTGTAGCAAACTTGACACTATACTGGTATGGTTCAGTTTCGCCTTGAGAATATAGACTGCTTGTATCGGTATAATCGCTGTTCCCCTAAAAACAATTGAACCTGACTTTTCTTAGTCTAACAGTTGATGATTTATACAGTTTGTCAATGTTAAACAGTTTCTTGACAAAACTTCTGAAGGAAATTATCGTTCAACGGTAGTTGGAATTTGAGCATTTCTAACTTCAAAAAGGTTCGACACCGAAGCTCGACTTCGACTAGTGAATAACAACTGCTAAATATTAAACAACTTTGAGACTAGAAACAACTACTTCTACAGATCCGGCTAATAAAAAAACCTTTAGTTTCCTATTGTAATCTTGGATAATAGTAATCAACCAAGAATATAACTAGACAAACTAGATTTATTTCATAAACCGTATTACAGCAATTCTCTTTGAAAATATTTAGTCATGAAATGGAAAAACAGTTTTGTTACTAGTTTTATAGAAAATGCCAAATAATGTGTTATTAGAGATATTTGTAATGCTCAGTTTAAAGTCTTAATAACTATGCATGTACCAGAAATGCAATAACTGCAATAACTACTCTATACAAGACAGTAATCAACTTGCAATTATATCATTCCCTTCACTACTTTCTTTCCAGTTTCACTGCCTTCCTTTCGGTATTTTATCTTTTTAAACAGTTGCAGATTTTGATGAGAAAAGAACCATCATTTTTAGGGCAATCAGTTGTAGTTACTGTGGTTTTTGTTGCTGATAAATGCCTCACATGATCTATTTAGACGATCTGGAAAAAAAAGAAGAAAAAAAAGGAGAAAGAAAAAGGATAGTTTAACGCATAGACAAAGATGAAGATGATTAAAATGTAATGTTCAGCAAAAATTTTGCCGGCTCATAAACGATATTTGCTGTTTATAATTAGAAGAAAAATAGATATACAGGAATATCTAAATATTGATAGTGAAATCAATATCAAACTTTTCTACATTTTCAGCAGAGCAAAAAATGAAAGGCTTGAATAGAGTAAGTTGGGAAAAGCTTTTTTATTAAAATTACTAGTGCTAAAAGAGGTAGCAGCAGTGGCAACAACAAAATGTTACCTACTAATCAACAATCTACAAATGTATATAAAAGTAGTGTCAAGAAAGACTCATTTCTGACATATTTTCAAATCCAAATATATTAAAAGTTGTGAATAAAAAAGATTCCAATTTCCGGTTTTTTGTTGCAATTTTTTCTGGAAAAAGAGGAATTAGAAAAAAACAGGAAAAATTTAAAAAAGATAAAAATTACAACAACGTCAGCGCTGATTGGCAGTACTGATTGAGATGTTTTAAAAATGAAATTGAAAAGAAAGAAACAGAAGACTTCGGAATTACAAAAAATTGGAAAATATTCAAAATTTATCCAAAATTTGCTTAGTTATTTCAGACAGCTATCAGATAAAAAAGAAATGACAGAAAAGCAAAAAGCAAAACAAAAGAGAACAACAACGAAAAGAGAAAGAAAAAAAAAAAAGAAACTTGGTCTAATTTTTGTTTGCTGCAAAACTGCCTGAAAATTTAAAAATGATTTGATCAGAAAGGAAGACCTTCTATCGTCCTCGAGTACAACCAACAACAATCGAAGGCTGGAAATATCCAACAGATTTTACCGTGGTCCTCTCACACTTCTTCCGGTCTGCCATGCAAAAGTTTCAAGCACCGGAAGCGTGGCACCGAGTTTTTTCCCCCTGCCTCCCCCCATCCCCTCCTTGACATAAATTATTTTTCCTTGATCGAACTACTTTTGGTGTGAAACTGGCAACCAAGAAAAGAAAAAAAAAAACAAAGAAAAATAAATATTTAAGAAAATGTTTAAGAGCAACCATAAAAAAAAGTAGTAGCGTCAAGCAGTTATTGTGCCAAATCTAGTAATTTAAAAGCATCTAAAAGCAAACCCCAACAGTTGTTCTGAAAAATCTTTATGTGAAGCTAATAAGGTCTGAATTTTTTTGAAAAAAAACTTTTTTTTTGTTCTAATATGCATAATATTTGCTAACAGTTTCTTTGAATGAATTAAATGAAGCATCCAGCAACATTAACACCTTTTTAACTCTCTTTTTCTAACCTTATTTCCATGTTTCTGCGATTAATATCGCACAACAGAATTGAAGATAATGAGAAAAGAAGACCGTTTTGGAGGTCTTTCGGTTTTTTCAGCATCTACTTCTTTTTTTTTTTTGAAACATATCAAGTGGCCTCTCACTGCAAAAAGTGTAAGCAATTATTTCTTCATTTAAAATGTTTCTTACTTTTCATCTTTTTCTTTAGTGTTGTTTTAATGTTAACTATTTTTTCAAAGAACAGTAGCGGGTTCTATTAGCCATTACTGGCTTTCCTAAAAAGAAGCTACTAGACAAAGCTTTGAGAAGGCAATTCAGCTTTACAGTATTCATTATTTCATTAGTGATATGACCAAGCAATTTGCCCCTACCGCAAAATGTTAAATATCGCACAGTAGTTTGTAGCGCCAAAAAAAAGGTACTTCTAAACAACCAGTCCTCTAAATCTTCACAACTCAAAAATAAACTTGATATACCTTGATATTACTAGAAAAGGACCAATTTATAACAAAGAATATTTCAAAAATAACTGTAAGAGGACGAGAGGCT